GCCCGCCCCGCGGTGCGTGCTCCCGCGCCTACGGAGGTGGGTGTCTGGGGGGGACGGCGGCTCCGGGCCCGTTTCCCGAGTGGGGGTGGTACCGACCCCCGGGCCCCGAGGAGCGGGGGGAGGCCGCGGGCCGAGCCGGGAGCTCACGTTTGCTTCGGGACTTGTGGGGTTTGCCATGGTGGAGAGGCCCCCTTATGGGAAGGGGCCTCGTGCCGTCGGTGACACCGGAGCCATTCGGAGGCCGCGACCGGAGCGCTCACGTGTTTTCACGCGTTTTTATAGAAACCTTTTGCTTTTCTTGGAAAGTTTGGTGTAACGCTCCTCTTCCACGAGGAAGGAGCTGTTCACGTTTTATCTTCCTCTGCTTTCCAGCGGGGGCACCGAGGGCTGGCGGGTGGTATCACTTGTGCCTTTTCTAGGGCTTGTTCAGGAAGATAGGAAAAGTTTTGTGTTGGGTTTTTTAAAATTAAAAAAAAAAACATCAAGCCCAGATCCTTAAAAATTAGGTCTAAGCTGATAGTAAAGAAACAGAAGTCAACATAGTCTAATTTAAGCAAATTATTTATTGTGGCATTTCACTTTTGATCTTTGCACTTGAGGTATAGCCTTATTGTCTTAAATTAACATCTCATGCAATTTCAGGGTCTCTTCATGATGTATGTATTAACTTTCTCTCTAGCAGAGCTGTGTTTTCTTGGGCAGCCAAGCTGTTTGTTGTCTCCTTTTTAGCCAAAACATGCTAAAAATTCTGTATTTACCTTCCAGGCCACAAAGAGCAAGCCCACAGAGGAGGGCGATGCTCCTCCAGCCAAGAGAGCACCCATCTTTTATGGCAGTTTGGAAGAGAAGGAAAGGGAGCGTCTGGCAAAAGGAGAATCAGGGCTGTTGGGAAAAGAGGCGATGAAAGCTGCGCTTGAGGCTGGCAATATCAACATAAGCAGTGGTGAGAATGTTTAACCACTTTTTTTTTTGTCTCGATGTGGAATGTGACACTTTCAAAAGCCTTTGATCAACTTTGAGCGTAATTTAAAGTGAAAAATGTGAAACCATTGCCTGAATTGTTGGCTCTTTGTTTGGATCTTCCTGTTTGAGAGGGATTGTTGAATCATAGAATGGTTTAGGTTGGAAGGGACCTTGAAAATCATCTAGTTCCACCCAAGCCCCGTCCAACCTGGCCTTGAACACCTCCAGGGATGGGGCAGCCACAGCTTCTCAGGGCAACCTGCCCCAGGGGCTCACCACCTTCATAGTGAAAAATGTCGTCTTAATATCTAATCTAAATCTACCCTCTTCCAGTTTGAAGCCATTCTCCCTCATCCTGTCACTACATGCCCTTGTAAAAAGTCCCTCCCCAGATCTCCTGTAGCCCTTTTAGGGACTGGAAGGGGCTCTGAGGTCTCCCCAGAGCCTTCTCTTCTGCAGGCTGAACAGCCCCAACTCTCCCAGCCTCACCTCCCAGCGGAGGGGCTCCAGCCCTCTGACCATCTCCGTGGCCTCCTCTGGCCCCGCTCCAACAGGTCCATGTCTTTCCTGTGTTGGGGGCTCCAGAGCTGGATGCAGTATTCCAGGTGGGGTCTCACCAGAGCAGAGTAGAGGGGAAGCATCCCCTCCCTCACCCTGCTGGCCACACTTCTGATGCAGCCCAGGATACGGTTGGCCTTCTGGGCTGCGATTGCACATTGCTGCTTCATGTTGAGCTTCTTGTCAGTCAGCACACCCAGGACCTTCTCCTCAGGGCTGCTCTGCAACCATTCTTTGCCCAGCCTGTATTTGTGCTTGGGATTGCCCCGACCCAGGTGTAGGACGTTGCACTTGGCCTTGTTGAACTGCATGAGGTTGGCTTGGGCCCACCTCTCCAGCCTGTCCAGGTCCCTCTGGATGGCATCCCTCCCCTCCAGCGTGTCTACCTCACCAAACAGCTTGGTATCATCGGCAAACTTGCTGAGGGTGCACTCAACCCCACTGTCCATGTCACCAACAAAGATATTGAACAGCACTGGTCCCAGTACTGACCCCTGAGGAACACCACTCCTAACTGCTCTCCACTTGATCGAGCGGTTGACCACAACGCTTTGAGTGCCACTATCTAGCCAGCTCTTTGTCTACCGAGTGGTCCATCTGTCAAATCTGTGTTTCACCAATTTAGAGACCAGGATTTCTCATCCCCTTGTTTTCAACCTGATGGTTTTGGTTTTTGTTCAGGTGAGGTCTTCGATCTTGAAGACCACATGAGTGAGCGGCAGGTGGAAGTGCTGGCTGAGTTTGAGCGCAGGAAGAGAGCCCGGCAGATCAACGTGTCCACTGACGACTCTGAAGTGAAAGCCTGTTTGCGAGCGCTTGGGGAGCCCATCACGCTCTTTGGAGAAGGTCCTGCAGAAAGGAGGGAGAGGTGCTGTGTCTGCCCTGAGTGTTGCAAACGGGGAACACTGTTTATCAAATTCCTGACATTTCCTTGTAGTCAGGACACAGTGCATGCTGGCAGTCAGTAATGCTTCAATGCAGCAAGAACACTGAGAAAGAAGGAATGGCAGACAGTGATTATTTGTCAGGTTAGCTGAGAATTCACTTGAGTGATTATGATTTAATGTGTTTACTTCTAGGTTAAGAAATATCCTTTCGGTGGTTGGCACAGACGCATTAAAAAAGACCAGGAAAGATGACGACAGGTCTAAAAAATCCAAAGAAGAGGTAATGGTCTGTCTTGTTCTCTCAGTGCTGAGGGAGATAGGTATGATACCCTTTGAGGTGCCTTATTTTGATGATCTCTTCTGCGTCCAGGACTCTTGGTTTTGGTCAGTTTGTGGATTTTCATGTCATCCCTCCATGCTCTTTCTGTGTTGCCCATTTTAGCAAAACTGTGACAATGTGTTATCTAAATCAGGAGCGTAAATCTGGCTTGTACTCCAGGCCAAATTCCATGCTGCATACAGCATGTAAAACAGGAGATTATACTAAATAACAATCCAGATGTCTAGTGAGTCCTTTATTGTTGTTTGTCTTCATACTTAGGAAGAAAAAACTATGTTTCTGCTACTGCATCTGTTTCGGCCTTTGACGCTTCTTTCTTTCTGCTTCTCCTTTCTCTTTTCTGAGTCCATTTTTTGCTTATTATTTTCGGGAGTTGCTGTAAGAAATAAGGACAACTTCTGCAGCTCTGGGCTTTCTTTTTACTGGGTGATGTGTTGGGAAGGAGGGAGTATAATCATCAGCTGTACATCCTTAAATAAAATGAGTTGATGTTTAATGGGAATATTGAGTGAAATGGCAGCATGTCAGCATCTGGTCTGCAGGGCAAAGAGTTTGACTTGTCTCTCTTAATCTCCTTTTTTAGGGCTTATAGTTATGCAAAATGCCCTTAAAAAGAGGCCTTAACACAGCAAGATATAAGAGCAGATGCCTTGGTGGCACTTATGTATGAAGAGGAGGTCACCTAGGGTAACTGAATGGAAGAGCGATGTCACATTAGGTTTTTCTTTGGTTTTGTTCTTTTTCTTACAGTATCAGCAAACCTGGTACCACGAAGGACCACGCAGTTTGAAAACAGCGAGGCTGTGGCTTGCGAACTACTCTCTCCCCAGGTGAGATAAAACAGCACAAGGAGGGAAATGGAACCTTTTGTAAAATCTAGCTGCTAATCCCACTGTGGGTAGTGCAGGAAATTTGAGATCAAAGGCATGGAGAATGTGCACTGGTAGACAAGTCCAGTGAGCTCAGAGCTTGAGTTCTCAGTGACTGACTGAGCCCGGTATGGGGGAAGAAGGGGAAAGGCCTGTTTACAGGAGCAGGGCAGGGAAAATGTAGGGACCTGTTACTCCACCCTTCCTCTTCACAGGGCAGTGAAGCGACTAGAAGAAGCCCGGCTGCTCAAAGAGATTCCAGAGGCAACCAGGACATCGCAGAGACAGGAGCTACACAAATCCCTACGAGTAGGTTTGGCAGCTGCGCAGCTACTGTGTTTAAAACTTTGCTGATTTCCAAAGAGATCAGAAAGAGATCAGCTGCCCGGAGGTGCTGTCCAGATGCGTGTAGTTTTCTGCATTGTCATCTGTTGGAAAGCTCTGCTTTTTCTCTGTTTTCCTGTGATATGCATAAAGCATGTTCTAACTCTTTTTTCAGTGATTGAGAGAGACGTACTTTAGTTGTCCCCTTGCACAGCAAAGGGATGAGGAAACATCCCTGCATTGCCTTGCCACTTGCCTGTGAAGCTAAAGGAATTTATTCCTGGCTTTGTCGCAGCTTTAGCGGCTAGGAAAGGACTGCTCGCTCCTCTTCTTGTGCAATGGTCGCAAGTGCATAAAACGAAGGGAAATAATAGCCAACACAGTAATGCAAAACATGTTTTAGATTACTCTGAGACACCCTTTTCAAGCATGTTAAGTCAGATTTCCATCTTAACCGAACAGAGAGGCTCAAGCACAGTGCGCTGCCACTCTAATCCTGTTTACGCCCAGAGGCAGTAGCTGCCAGAGGATTTGCTTCTCCCCTAAGCGCACCACACTGCCTGCCCTGGTCTGTGTGCTTCTGTTTGTTGGATGAGTTGTAGAAAGAGACCAAAACTACAGTAAGTTCTCTGTCAAACACGTAGTTTCAAAGCAGGCCTGCAGGGTTATTGGTGGCAAGTAGGGTGGCACATTGAGACCTAAGCTGTGCCCTGGGGCTGTGCTAGCGTACATCGGGCAGGCTGCGTGGCCCTCCTGCTTGGAGCTGGAGTGGCTCCGAGGTAGCTCCTCCCTTCGAAAGTGACTTTCCAAAGGCCTTTGCCTACATTTGCCTCCTTCATCTCAGTCTTTGGCCAGGGCTTTCCCTAGGTTGTTTCTACTTTACTCTTTGATTGTTTTGTTTGTATTTGGTTACAGTCCTTGAATAACTTCTGCAGTCAGATTGGAGACGATCGCCCGCTCTCCTACTGCCACTTCAGCCCCAATTCCAAACTCCTCGCTACGGCCTGCTGGTAAGTTTTCTTCTACAGTACTTGCTGTTGGGGCTGAGAGAGCACAGCAGGAGTGAAGGAGAAGGATATTATTCGAGGCCTGTGAATTGTGAGAGTTCAGAAATGCTTTTTCTTCCTGCTCTGAACTCTCTCTTCACCCTGTTTTAGAGCTTAGCAGAGGTTTGAATCTGAGTCCATTAGTCCCTATGGTTGGTTGCCCGAAGTGTATTAGTATTTTAGTCATTGCAGAACCCCCCAGGGTGGTTTTGCAGCTCTGTGTTTGGTCTTTGCTTTGATGTTCCTGTCTACACTGACGCCTGCTTGTGTTCAACAGGAGCGGATTGTGCAAGCTCTGGTCCGTGCCTGACTGCAACCTTGTTCACACCTTACGAGGTAGAAAACAGTTTTCGCTGAGACTCTTTGCTTAATTCTTGTGTTCCTCTCTGGGTTGAGTTCCCATATCTGCGTTATTTTGTGACTCAAAATGTAGTGTTCTTTGGGCAGAATTTATTCCACTGAGAGCATCACTCAGGCTTGCAAAGCGTGGGCACATGTTTCATAATCAAGAGGAAGTCCTGGCCTTTCTCTTAGAGCCGAGACCTGAGTTTGTTGTTTCTGTTTCTGAATAATCTTGGTTTGTTTTGTTTCAAAACCTGGTTTGAGTTATTCTGAGCCAAATAACAGCGGTTTTGGCCAGGCCACTTAATGGCAGTGAGGTTCGGTCACAACTTCGACTAAATACAAATGTGAGGACAAATCTTGTGATTTATATGTGAATTTCCACTATACTTTGAGGATTACAGACCTTGGCAGCAGTGGGCGCTGCTGGAAGTGCAGTTTAGCTGTTTGTAGGATGGATACGTCTGGTAGTTACAATGCAATTTCACCCAATATGGGAGGACACGGTGAAAGTGTTCACTGGTACCTGACTAATTAGTAACAAAGAAATGCTGTTTTTCTGAAGAACTGGCCAAGATCACGTGGCAGATTACCAACTTTGATTTTCCTTTGTCTTAAGGACATACCACCAACGTAGGAGCAATAGTCTTCCATCCCAAAGCCACTGTCTCCCTTGACAAGAAGGACGTTAACCTGGCCTCGTGTGCGGCTGATGGGTCTGTCAAACTCTGGAGCCTTGAAAGGTCAGAATGATACCAGACATGCAGAGCTGCAGCACTGTTGTTTTGGGGTTTCTTTTGTGTTATTAAACATTGGACATTCACCACCCTCCTGCAAATATAACCTTTTCTTGTAGTTATACCAGTGCAATTCCTGGCCTCAGTATGTGCTACCTTCTTCAGCAGG